GGGAAAATTCAAGTTATCCTTCTGGACTTTGACTTACCCACTTTACTCTCATTCGCTCATCATTGTTACAAAGAGCAAGTTACTTAACTACTCTAAGATTTAATATGTAATCTATAAAATGGGCATAATAAACATTGAAAGGTTGTTATAAACACTGAAGGAGACAACAGGTGAAGTACCTGGCACACAATCACTCAAAAAAATTAATTCTCTTTCTCAAATGCAACTTAAAGCAATACTTCTACATTTAATGATATATAATCTATACTCTGATTCATTCTCTCTCTCTCTCTCTCTCTCTCTCTCTCTCTCTCTCATATTCACAACAGCCTGAAAATGTAAGTAGCTCAAGTTGGGTGTAATCCGAGGCTCAGAATGATTGATTGACTTGCCCAAAGTGCACAGCTGTTAAGTGGCAGAACCAGAATTTGTGTAGAAAAAGCTGCTTATGCCCCTGTGTTTTTTTTGAACCTGTGACATCAAATGAAAGTTACATTTTACACTAACTATTCTGTTCACAGAATTTGGAACATATATAATAATCTTAAGGAAAATTTCCATCTAGAATGGTTATAAATTTTAAGTTTTTTTAACTAATGCAAAAAACTAAGCTATCTCCAAAACTTATTTCTCAGTTCAGGATACCAGAAGTTTCAGTTTTATTATGTAAAAAAGGGCCATGTGAAGTTTTTTTTAAAAAAAAAATAATAATAATGACTAAGTACAGTGAAGCTCAAATGTCCAATGTGTTACATATTTAAAGTATAATTTTTTAAGCCAAATGATTATTGGCATCAAATAAGCACATTTAAAATCTATCAATGAGAGTTCACAATGATTTTTAATTTCTGAACTAAAAATGCCTATATTTTCTCACAAAGTGAAACTAGAAACTGTTGCCTACAAGAAACACTGCAACCTGACCAAATGCTCACTGTAATTAGTGCTTCTATTGTAATTGGGGTTGTAGGTGGCGCGGTAACCTCTGAGCATCCTTGATTGTGTATAGTTAGAGAACAAAAGGTCACAAAGTAAGTCCTGTGGCTTCCCAACAACAGTTCCTTCACCAGGAACGCAGGCTCAGACTCTAGCATTCATTTGCTAAACTCACTCAAACATAATGCCTTCTGGATGAATACTCAGTATTCTCCAGCTATAAGACCTGGGGAAAAATTATTTTATAGCTCAATAGTTTCGTATTTTCCTTTAAATGGGTCTTACATGTTTCTTCTTAAGACTGTTTAGGTATTTTATGTAGTTTGTTGCAATTGTGAGTGAAATTTCCCCTTTAGATCCGAGCTCCCCACTCCCCCCCAGTATTTGCTATTACATTAGTTGTATATAATCTGAGTGGAAGAATAGAAGTGATGTTCCCAAACATCTCAAAATAGACAGCCGTTAACCATAAGGCAACATTAGAATTCAAAATGACCCTGGACAATTAGAGAAGTGTTAAAAACAAAGAAAACAGCAGTGAGTAGGGGCAGGTACAACACAAAACAACAATGACAAACCAAACAATCAAAAAGTCAGATGGGCCGAAACCGGTTTGGCTCAGTGGATAGAGCGTCAGCCTGTGGACTGAAAGGTCCCAGGTTCGATTCCGGTCAAGGGCATGTACCTTGGTTTCGGGCATATCCCCAGTAGGAGATGTGCAGGAGGCAGCTGATCGATGTTTCTCTCTCATCGATGTTTCTAACTCTCTATCTCTCTCCCTTCCTCTCTGTGAAAAATCAATAAAATATATTTAAAAAAAAAAAAAAGTCAGATGGGAACTTCAGCTATATAAAAACATGTCAGTGCCTGGCTGGTGGGCTCAGTGGTTAAGCATGGACCTATGAACCAGGAGGTCATGGTTCAATTCCCAATCGGGGCTCATGGGCGGCTTGGTCCCTGGTGTGGGGTGTGCAGGAGGCAGCCGATCAATGATTCTCTCTCATCATTGATGTTTCTGTCTCTCTCTCCCTCTCCCTTCCTCTCTGAAATCAATAAATATATACATTTTCAAAATGTCAGCAAAATATGTAGGATTGAAGTGGATAATTAGCTGACCATGAACGAGCAGGGAAGCACTGCACTCTTTACGGACCTGTAAATTGGCAGCTGGTACGGAAGGACCATCAGGCCAGCTTCCTTATGTGCTCAGTGCTGGTGGAACCTCTATCACAGCGGTTCTCAACCTGTGGGTCACGACCCCATTGGGGGTCGAACGACCCTTTCACAGGGGTCGCCTAAGGCCATCGGAAAACACATATATAATTACATATTGTTTTTGTGATTAATCACTATGCTTTAATTATGTTCAATTTGTAACAATGAAATTGGGGGTCACCACAACATGAGGAACTGTATTAAAGGGTCGCGGCATTAGGAAGGTTGAGAACCACTGCTCTATCACGACACACACTCATTCTGACAGTTACCACTTGAAGAACAAGGTGGAGATGTTAGAACCTAAGTTAGCATGAGAACTAAAAAGATGTATATAAAGTAAAAAAAAAAAAAAAGATGGAATTACAGAAAAGATAAAGAAAGGTCCTTTGATATGCAGGACAGTGACCAACAGTAGCTATGTACACTGATGACAAAACAAAACAGGCTTAACCGGCAACTTGACGGCATGCCATAAATGGCAATGCTTTCAGACAGCAGATTTATTAATCATTAAAATGGCTGTCAAATTTTCTGTTGTAACGGTGTAATTTTGTAGGTTTTTCTATGTGCTGCTCAGTTCTATAAAAACTGACAGCTTCGGTGATTTCAGGCTGCTTTTGAAGATACCAGTGGCTAAGCTATCCCCAGCTCACAAAGTAAATAACTCACCACACTTCTGAATACAAACAAAAGGGCTTTATAGCCCAGCTAGTGAGTGGCTGGGAAAAATTAGAATGTTTATCTTACAGTGCTTAGTGGAAGAGGGACACAGGGTGTTTGTTTTACCCAGCAACCATCCACATCTAGTCTGGAGGGCCTGCTGTGTTTCATAAAGAGAGACAAGGAGAAGCAACTTGGAAGTACGGTAGGATCTTGTTGGACCAAATGCAAACCTATCCCTTAACCAGTTCACACAACAGGCAAAGGAGAGACTCCCAGCAGCTGAGAAACAAATCTCTAGAATCTTCAAACTAACACGGTAGAAAGGGACAAATTCACTTAAAGAGGCTTGGGACCAAGGTATGTGAGTTTAAGGTTAGTATAACTTCTTAGAGAAAACATTAAGAACTGATGGGGAAAGACAACAGCAGTGCTAACGAGTATAGTGGTGCCTAAAGAATTACTCCATGTTCCATTTAAAAAAAGAGAGAGAATATATATATTTTTGATGACGTATTCAGGATTATTTGAGATATGGCCTCTTGAGCTGCCTTTGGTCAATACTGACATTTTTATTCTCCTTCTAGATCCCCATGATTACCTTACCCAATTCTTGGTATTTACCAATATATTTTTCCTTTCCCATAATCCTATATGTTCTTTCTTTTGTAATATGCTCTCTTTTCTAACTTAAGATTTCTTTTACAACTCACTCGCTACATTTATGTTACTTTTTAAAATATATTTTTATTAATTTCAGAGAGGAAGAGAGAGGGATAGAGAATAGAAACATCAATGATGAGAGAGAATCATTGATCGGCTGCCTCCTGCATGTCCCCTACTAGAGATCAAGCCCGCCAACCCAGGCATGTGCCCTTGGCCAGAATTG